ACAAAGTCACCCGCCGCACTGTGACTTCGTCCGGGAGAAAAGGACGGGCGCCGCCTCGCGAAGGATCGGAATGAGTTGATAGGGGGAACAACATCCCAGTCGACCTGATTGATCTTTTCGAGTAAGGAGTGCAGTTCGAAGTCGGTGTCTGCTCCGCCCAAGGGCACAGTATAGTCCAAAAGGCACATGAGCTCGACGAGCTTCGGAGGAAGATACCACAGCCGCCAACAATCGTACGCCTCCCAGAGCAAGGTGGCGGCTACCTTCACGCACCACTCCGTCAAAAAGACAACCCACAACCCGTGACGAGGATCAGTGAGATGGCTTCCAAAGTAGGTAAGGATGGGACCGAGCTCTGCCCAAAACCCTTGGCAGACCTCAAATTGTCCCCACCATGAGGGGAGTTGCTGGTACCGGTTGGGGTAGTGTGACCGAGCAATTTCCCCCGCCTCAACCATTTGGTAAGCTAGGAAATATCCCGTGTCCGATCTCATCTTACGCTCGAATGCGACCGTATGCTGGAAGAAGGGGATGTTCCCGCGTTTCATATGTCGGAAATTGAGGGGGAGGATTGCGCGCGTGTATGACATGGCATCGTTAGTCACCGTCAGTTGGTTATGCCACAAGCGGTCCGCCTCGAGCACGGGGGCACCCCGTGTCCAGCTGAGGAGGTTGTCAAGGTAATCACGCTCCCCCTCCGTGCGAAACTTCCACGTGTCACATCCGAAGGACGAAGGAATGAGGGCATCGGATAGGGATATGTCGAGACGGTCGAGGACGGCTTCCATGAACCGCAGGGATAGGCCCTGGCGGCCAAGAGGGGAGGAACGACGCAGGATAGATGGGGGAATGGCGATACGGGCACGCCAATCGTAGGAGGAAATGGCTTGAAGGGGAAGGTGACCCGGCAGCATCCGCGCACCGTCGGCAAAGTCGCGCCCGATGCTAGTGACGTCGCGCACGTCGATGGCGGAAAACCAAGGAGTGGCCGCGTACAGTAAGGGATAGTCGCGCATGGATTTACCTTGGAGCTCGGCTAGTGAGGGGTATCGACGAGGAGCTGATGAAGGATGGAGATCGGGATGAAAGACCGGTTCAGGAATGTTGGTGTTCGGGGGAAGTCGGGGTATGGAAGGAAGGTCGCTAGGAATGGAAGGCGTGTGTGAGAAGCCCACACCGCCGCGACCGCGAGTGGTATGTCCGGCAGTGGGACCCGATGAAGGAAACATGGAGATCGTCTTACTCTCACGCGAGCGGCGACCGATGGTCGGAAGAAAAAGGAAGAAGTTGGGAAGCAAAGGAGTGAAGACGCTGCGCGAGGGCGCTCAGAAGGGAAATATATAGTGCAATACCCGTCTCGGGTAGGGGGACGAAAGGAAGTGAAAAAGGAAAAAAAAATGGATACTGTAGTCCGGGTTTGGGGGACACACGTGTGCGACGAAGCGCACGATTATTTTAATTATTTAATTTATTTAATAATTAGATCTAGAATCTAGAGCCGGGAGCTACTGTACTCGCCCCGGCGGGGCTCTATATAACTTAGCCCTTTGACCGAACAAGTCAATAAACCAACCCGAGTTGCCAGAGTTGAATGTCGCCTTGGTCGAAGTCCGTCTCTACCAAGACGCTCCCTTTTACCTAAGCCTACGGCATCCTTCAGCGCTCGGGGGTTCTCTTTCTTTTTCCTTCATTTCCCAATCAAACCCGAGTTGCCGGAGTTGAATGTCGCCTTGGTCGAAGTCCGTCTCTACCAAGACGCTCCCTTTTACCTAAGCCTACGGCATCCTTCAGCGCTCGGGGGTTCCATTTCTTTTTCCTTTATTTCCCTATCCTTTTCTATCTCTAATTCTACCTATTTTCCCCTTATCTTGTGTTGGTGCCATCGGCCTCGGTTGCGACCGAACCGGTGTAGGTGTCTTTGCCATTGGGCGACACAGTTGACGTAGCGCTGCTACTGTGACCCATTTTCCGACGGAGACCGTTGCAACAACGTCTCCCTCGAAGGGCTCCGTCGTGTTACGAGCCAGTGTTGGTGCCATCGGCCTCGGTTGCGACCGAACCGGTGTAGGTGTTTCGAGCCATCGGGCGGCACGGTTGACGTAGTGCTACTACTTTCATTTCATCCCGTCGGGCTGCGTTGCGACGCCCCCGTCGAAGGCCTTGTCGCGTTACAAGGTGTCGAAGAAGCTCAACGAGCATTGGCCTTACAACCCAGTGGAACCGGGGTACCTACGTACGCGCCCCACCCCACACTCGTCGAGCAGTTCTCTTCGCAAGTCTGTACCACACCGATCTCGGGCCGGGCTATTTCTCTGTGCCCCCCCATCAGGGATCTGAGCTACTACGAGTCGCAAGCTCGTTTAAACGGAGAAGGGAGAGTCGGACACTCCGTAGCGCTGTGCCATCGGCAGATCTTCTTTTTGCTGCTGTTGTTGTTTTTGCTGGACCATCGGACTGCGGTCTCTGCCCGACAAGCGCATTGCACTACAAGATGTACGCCAGGTCAACCAGTGTATGTTTATAGGGAAAAGCCGATTCGAAAATGCACCGGACCACATAAGTTGATATCGGCTGTCGGGAAGAAAATAATGGTTAACGTCGGTGACCGTACAGGACCTCGATCCTTCAATTTGGCGCAAGTGAAACCAGCGAAGTTACCGTCTATCTCGTCACTACTTTCAAAGCAGGCCAAGTTCGCCTGCCGCGCAGACACCCAAACCATTCGAGTTTGAGCCTCAAAAGCCAGAGCAACATGCGGCACCACTTCATTCCATTCCTCCGATATCTGAGTTGCCAGGAAGAGCTACTGTAACCTGGCCCTTCTTCTCGGAAGTTATGGCACCAAAAGATCCTAGGACTGGCCAGTTTGATGAAGCAAAGAGGAAGGAGCTTGAGGGTTTAATCAAAAGAGGAACCCTGAAACTAGTCTTGCGTGAAGAAATCGGTCCAAATCCAAACATTGTACCTTCTCGTTTTGTCCTCACTATCAAACGCAAAGAAAATGGGAACGAGCAAGGCACGATTAGTTCTTGGTGGTCATCGTGATCGAGACAAAAGAAGAATTTTGCACAACGCCAATACACTTAAGCAGCCATCTATTCGTATCATGCTCGTATTATCCTCTATCTTGGGACTTGATATGTGCGCAACAGACATCAATCAGGCATATATACAGTCTGTCTCTGAATTGAAAAGGGAAATATTTATACGACCAGACATATTAGAGCTCTCACCAGATCATCTTCTAAAAGCGGTGAAGCCTCTCTACGGCTTTACAGACGCAGGGGATTACTGGGGTGAAACGCAAACTGACCATCACAAAAGCAGCTTGATATGAAGCATGCTGAGGGCGACTTTTCGCTCTTCTATAAGCGCGTAGGAACAAATCTCATTGGGGTTTGGTCATATGTTGACGATATCATACGGGTCGGAGCAGATGAATTCAGAAGAGATTCAAGTGCCGTCAGAAGTCGTGCATTTGATACAAAACCATCTGAAGATACTCCGTTCGTCTTCACTGGTCTTGAGGTAACCAAAAATGATATGAGTCATTCCGTTGGCCAAAAGGGATACATATCGCGCCTAAAGCGCCTACGTCCTGATTCGTTATTTGATGAATATCGCTCTATGAGGGCCAAACTGGCATGGGTCGTCCATTCCAGACCAGATATAGCTTTTACAGTGTCAATAGAAGCACAATCCACCTAAAAACCTTCGGACATGAAATCATCAAGCTCAACAAGATTATCAAATATTTCCAAAACACAATTTCAATCCGCATGAAATACCCTCATTGGACCTAACCTCGCTACACCTCACGGTATACTCAGATGCGTCGTTCAACAACAATAACGACAACTCAAGCCAATTGAGATATATTATTGTTTTGATGGACAAGCATCATCGTGGATCTGTTATTCACTTTTATTCTCAAAAGTCACGTCGAGTCACCAGATCCAGTATGGCTGCAGAAACACTTGCATTTGTCGACGGATTCGACAATGCATACATTCTACGCCATGATTTGCAACGTATGCTTGGTCGAGAGATATCTTTGCTAATGCTTAATGATTCAAAGGCGCTTTTCGATGTCATCAGAGGGTCCAAGTACACGAATGAGAAGAGATTAATGGTAGATCTTGCCGCAATTCGAGAGACGTACAATGAACGTACGATTTCGAATATTGGACTCATTCGTAGCGAACAAAACCCGGCTGATGGGTTGACAAAGATTGGCCCGAACGCGGCTTTTCAAAAGTTGCTGCGAACCAACACACTACAACATCCGATCGAGCAATATGCCATCGATATTTAACAACAACACTCGAAACACAGATGTTTCCGGACTTCCAAAGAGGGAAATGATGGATATGAGGCCATATCCGCTAAGTCAAGTCACTCCAACAATCTGATCAAGGACAAAACCTCATGGTTTTTATTTACTTGCGTTTTATGGGGTAGCCTGAGTTTCGAATTTAGCCTGCAACAGTAGTTTTCACTGCGTATACATAGTTGAAGTCGGGAGTAAAATTGCGAGTGCGAAGACGGGAGCAACCATCTACATTCGAAACTGAGTGTGTCGATTACAAGCCTGACTGCACAGAACTGCAGCTGCCTGACTCTTTCAGCTCTAACGCCCTTTGTCTGCCTCAGCAAAGACTGAGCTGACGCAAAAGGAACCTGGAGGAGATTATTTGACAAAAATTGGAAAATTCAACAAAAAGAATTCGCGTTCTACATCGCTCGGGGGTCAGCCGAGAGACAAGTGTGTTGTCACACGGGGCACACTCGGGCCGATATCACCTCTCGGGCCTCCCATGCGCCCTCGCCTCCACCTCGAGGCCCATGTCCGGCCCTCGAGCTGATAACGACCCTCTTGCCCCGTGTGACAACGCATACATGCTCGCTCACAGATGTCACAGACATTGTCGCGGCTTGCACGGACGGGTTTCGGGCATAGTGTCGTTGTCGTCGAGCTCGACTTCATCCACGATAGTCACATGGACCTATGGCTGGGGCGCGCCAAGTTGCACCTGGTGAGGCCTCGCGGCTCGCCTGTCGTGCACGGACGTGAGTGGACTTTTTGGAGCAGTATGGGTTGCCGCGCGACACAGGACTGTTTACATCTGGTCGCTGATTCACGACGTCTGCGACCTGACCGCGTGCGCACACTGCTTGTGTGTTCCCCCGCTCCTTCGTGCCAAACAGGGGCCGGGCAAATCTCTGTGAAACGACAACGTCCTTCCCTCTCCCTTTGCGGAACGTCGGCGTCGTCAAGCCATCCAAATATCAACAGCCTACCCGCATGTGCGCTGTAACCGTTTCTGCATGGGGCATTGGTTAATATGTGAGAGATAACCACTAGGCAATAGCGCATCTGTCGTGGCCGGGATAGATAAAAGGAGAAGTACCCTGGGTACCGTATGTGCATGCGCCAACCCCAAACTCGAGAGGTCTAACTCTAGTTCAGTCGGGACCCACAGGATAGAGGTGCAACGGCAATCGGATCCATTCATCAGTGGAAGTCATGAGGACGCTCTTCTACTGCATTACTCTCACGTTGCTCAAGGCAATCTGAAGGACACAACCTGACGAATGCGCAGGCGCAGCCCTTCAAGTTACATTTGAGGCGGGTGTGGGGGGCATGTATGATTAGGAGGCCTACACCTGGGGATGGCAAGCGCGAGGTGGACTAGATGGGTGGTGAAGTTCGAGCTTTGACAGTTTGCAACGCTATGGAGTTCCAGGATGACATCTCGCGAGCGAGGTCTTCAATGACTTTAAACGAAGGGCCATATCTTTAACTAGGCTGCATTCCATCTGGTCAGCGCCGCAGGAAGTCGCTGACTCTGAAAAATCTTGGGCTCATCACTCACAGGCAGGATTCTGGGCTACGGCTGTGATGGGGGTGGTGCGTCTGCAAGAATGAATGGAATGCGAGCGAGTAGGACGGCATGAATGGAATGCGAGCGAGTAGGACGGCGGCACTACCTGACCAGATTGCGGAACTATGCCTTTTTTAATTGCGTGCTTTCGCAGTCGCACTAGCGCGGCGACGGCTCCTCACAGTGATGTGGGAGGCGAGAGTTGTGGGAGGCGAGAGTTGTGGCAGGGAGGAGACTTTGTCTCTTATATCTCAAGTTTGCGTTTACTTGTCATAATTATTGTCGAGTGAGATGGCAGGGCTCTCCTAGGGGGAGCCAGCAGCAGAGGGGTGATGTTGCGGGGAGGAAGAAGGATGTGCCGGCCCATCAGGAGAACCCATGAGTGAGGGAGTGAGGCAACGACAAGAGGAGGAAGTTGCGGGGACTGCTGAGTACTGGCATAATGCGGTCCTTGTCAAAATACTTGCATTTTATCGTATGGGAGGTAACTTCATTCAAATTGTAGGGTGGGCCGATCCCATTTATTTTTCACTAGATCAAGTGGAGGGGGGGGGG